GTTGCTGGACTTGAACATTTGGACCTATAGGGGGTGGAAAATGCTGATTCACGTTAGGCACCACAGGCTGGGGCGCCTGACGTTGTGGTTGGATGTTTATCTGTTGGATTTGTTCTTGCCCCCTAGGGAAGGGTGTTACAAGATTCTGAGCATCTAGGACTACAGGTGGAGGACTTACCTGGATGACAGGGGGCCTTGTATCTGAGCAACCTGATGTCCTCTTTGGAAGTTTTCATCAATCACCGGCTGTCGAGCAATTCCTCCATTTGGGTCCGCGCTAGCGTGCGGTAATCCTTCGCTGGGTGCTATTGGCAAGGTTTCACCCCTTGGTAATATTCGAATGGGTGGGATCGTAGACGTAGTTTGCATCATTGTTCCAAATTGTATAGCAGGACCCCCCCAATGCTGATGGGGACCCTGTTCTCAGTTGGGTTGGTGCAATGGACCCTCCATGTTGACCTTGTGTGCATTCATGATAAGTGTTAATGATCAATGGCCTAACCACTTCAGTCATACGCCTTACCACATAATCAGCGAACGCGTTCTAAGTTTCTTCAATAGTTCTCCTCATGGTAGAAAGTGCAACTGGTGTGAGCTCAGTTTATCTTCTATCTTCAACACGCTGCCTCGACATATCTGCGACCTCTTCTTGAGATTGGTTAGCCTCCTCGGTATGAAGAAGTTGAGCGGATGATGTCTCAACACGGGTATTATCTTCCGCCATCGATGCAGCTTGTTCGTCAGTAGTATTATTCGAGTTGGTTCTACTACGGGTGCGTGGCATAGCACTCTCTCTACTTAACTCAATAAGTGTCCCACCAGGCGTGCCAAAAAGATGTTTCATCGGTTTTTATTCTGTCGAAAATCTTTCACCGAACGTTGCATTTCGAATTTTATTAGAGGAGACTAGGGTCTTGAGTCAAGCTTGGACAGAGAATGTCAAATGCGTTTATTAATCCCAATTTAGATCTTACACCCTAACTCGATATGATGCCAAACTCGACAATACTAACAATGAAACGACAACTTGCAAATGTTGAAATTAAGCTATGTCGGAATTTAATCAATGACACAACTTCAAAGTACGCCAGAATTTAATCAATGGCGTAACTTGAGAGAATATGGCTGGAATCTAATCAACAGCTATACTCCAAACACAACGCCGGAATTTAATCGACGACGCTGAGCTAGTGGCACAATATTGGAATTTAATCAACAATGCTAAACCTGATAAAGACCCTCGTCAGAATTGAATCTACGACACGGAATCTGAAGATTATGACTAAAACTACTCCTAATGTGCTAAGAATAAAAGCTAGATATAAGATGTGTTGTGTTGTTTTCGCAGAAGGTCCTCTCTACGTTGGAAATCGTTGAGTATTTATAGAGCAGCTTGATAACCGTTTGACCGAACACTTCTCCTTGGTAGTCGTTTTCCACTTCCTTACGTTTCACGCTTTAACCGTTTCCTGACTAGTCGACATTGCTTATGCTCTTTGGGCATCACGTAATAGCTAATTTTCTTCCACGCGTCCCTTTATTTCTTCCTTGATCTTCACGCCCACGGTCATATCTTTACCTTTTGACACGTGTAAATGAATTTTTCGCCAAGTATTACCATGATTTCGTGCAAAGCTCGTGATCTTGAATTCATCGACGTCACGTGCAAAGCTCGTGACCTTGGATTCGTCGACGTCATGTGCAAAGCTCGTGATCTTGGATTCGTCGACGTCACGTGCAAAGCTCGTGATCTTGGATTCGTCGATGTCACGTGCAAAGCTAGTGATCTTGAACTTGTCGACACCTCTATGACGTGTACTGTCGATAATTACCTTAGGTCTTCTTAATGTCTCTAGGCCTGACTTGCGGCCTTTTTGGATTTTCACCATATGGACTGTACTTTATTTCTACCGTAACTTGTGAACGGCCCACTCCCACCATGGGTAATTTTGGGTGTCAACACCAAATAATTAAAATAAACCGTCTATGAATTCGTATCTTTGCATTATATATTATACACTTGGGAAAAACAAAATTATTCCTACCAATATTTAATGTTGAATAATCATAAATACGTACTTGGAAGTTAAAAGATCTTTACTAGTGATATTAAAACCAAATATTTTTTTAATCGTAAAAATAGCTGCTATTGCATAATCAATCCAGTCTATCACAGTGTATAGGGACCCGACCGGAGGACTTGTTTTGACTTAGGACAATAAGCTCATGAGCTTGGTATTACTCAAATATCGAACATAATGTTATACGATGAGATATAATTCAATATCAACGATGTGATTTGTCCTTGTGTTGTCGCCGGTGCTCAATGAATGCAATTGGTAAACTTGCTTTCAGCATGGTTGTCTCCGTCTGGGCCGCTTCTATCTGCATTATGCTTGTAAAATTGATTACAATAATTCTGGCCATAGAAGAAAATTTACGAGCAGAAAAGATGATTTACGACTTTTATGATAGTTTTTGTGTTTATTAAAATTCACATAAAGAAAACGTAGTTTATAAACCGAAAGAAATTTTGCCACGATAAGGAATGTCATTACAATTCGATTCTGTATTCAATTTACTAATAATAAGGAAATTACATTTGTAACAAAAACTATTCACTGGGTTTACTGATAATAACATAAATTATTGATCCCTAAAGCAAAAATTACTTGCAAATTAAATTATTTACTATAAGGTAAACTACTTTCTCTCATATTATGTTACTACTTCGACGATGAATCTTTTTTATGATATAGATCTTTTATGATATGCATAACTACTTGTAATTGTCGCAATCTCAATTACATCTGTAGCTATTAATTATGTTTTTGAAAAAAAATTGCCCAATCCTAGCTCGGTCATTAACTGATACCATAGTAAAGAACCTCAAAGGCCCTCTTCCAACCAACCGACATCTATTACAATCTCCCTCCCATCAAGAGTTAGTGCATCTACCAACATACAGAGATATCTACAAGACTCTCGTAGCTTCTAGAAGGCTCGGGAACGTACCTCAAGCTTTAGAGGCTAAGTCGGTCCATGTAAGATACCAACTCATCAAGGAAGCGGCCCACGTGTTTGTCTCCGAGTGGCGATGATGAGTTGCGGACGGAACCTCTTCATGAGCTTCTACAGACTGCCCGCGCTTCAGTCAATAGTGGTCATCCGTGAGATATGCTAATTACATTGCTATCTAAAGCATCTAAGGACAAATAATAATCTTCTGGACGTTCTTACAGGTAAAGATCATCTGATCTAATATCTATCTAGTAGAACAGTATTGTGTTCTGCATTCATCGCAAAATTATTGCCAACACTTACCATACCACTTGTAATTATACAATACAACAGCAATTGTGCATAACTGATTAAACTTTCCTTTAAGTATGGATTTAGATATATCACAAGTTTTCTCAAACTCTAATAGAGGGTCGATTGTAGCATGTATATAAATTTAAACTTAGAAAATCTATGGTTCTTACAGAATCTAATAACACCAGCCATGCATCACATCATCAAATAGAGCATAAATAAGAATAATGATGACGAATATGTAGTCCAAAATCCTCAGAAATCATCTCGCAATTATAGGCTGATTTCAAGTAAAAAGTTCAAACTCAAAGGTGACTTTGGTCTTGCAAACAAATCACAAAAAAGAGCAGTTGCTTCTTTCCCATCATCTTTCTCTAAGATGGAGAGAGAGAGAGAGAGAGAGAGAGAGATTTCACATTCTTCTTTCTTCCCCATTTGGCAGTTTGCTCTTCCTTTTCTTCTTTCAGGATTTCTTGCAATTCTCTCCGCTCAGAACTTGCTCTTCAACAGCAGAACTCCTGTTCATCACAGAGAAGAATATCCCAAATTTAGAGAAGGTACATCAAGTACAATTTTCCCTCATTACAAGGATTGTTTAACCACTTTCACGAGCATCGACCTAACCAATCGGTGCTTGACAAGAGAAATAATACAAATTGGTTCATAAATGAAAGTAGAAAGGTCATTGCTCAACAATTATTCTTCGGGTATTCACGCTTTACTATCTGCATTGACAAGCCATAACAATTAGAGTTCCAAGATCCATTCTCATTTATTAAAAAAAAGACTAGAAGAGGCCAAGGGTAAATATGTCTGAGAAATAGCTATTTTAGGATGTACCAATTGTGTTTGAAACTGTCTTAAAAAAAATCAAGGGGTCTTTCCAGATATATTTCTCAAAAGGAAAAATTATGAACTTTTCTTGAGGGCTTTAAAAGCAAAATCATATTGTGAGAGTGCTTGTACTTGAATCTTTCAACATATACATATACATATACATATGCGTGGAGTCATTGACGGGAATAAAAGGTAGGAAGGAGCCTCCTACAAATGGAGGTTTTTCATTATTTTGAGTGGGGTCCAAACTCTTGTTGCTACATCACGTCTAAGATTACACCTAGGACACCCAGCTATATGATCAATGCATTCAACCAAGTACCATTACATATGTGAGTTTGGTTTATGAAAGGCCATTAAGAATATGAAAACACAAAGGTACTCACTTCTGAGTTGGATCATCGGCTTTTGGTTCTTTATCTTCCTGCCACGCTTGATTTTGCATCTCTTCCTCCGTGAACTGCAATGTCCTCTCTATTTTCTTCGCAGAGCTGATTCCAATGTATCAAGATGTTATAGCAAATCATATGCTTCCACATGTATGTAAACATTTGGCCTTTTACTTTGTTGAGTAACTAAAACATTAGTTCCTTGTCTCACTTTAGTCAAGAGTCCACTCCTTAACCACTTATCTTTGGTCATCTGATACAGTACACGACCTATTCAAACTGAGATAAGCTTCGCACACGACGTATTCAAACTGAGATAAGTGCGAAGCTGAAGCATTTCCAGCATATAAATGACTTCTCTTCTCATAAAAAAAAGTAAAATAGGTAACATATTGTCAAGTCTCCAATTCAGTCAATTACCTTCCAGGTTCCCCGTCAACAACAGAAGGAGACAAACTTTCAGATGAATTCACGGCAGTGCTTCCATCTTGCTTTTGTCTCCGAGTCCTTCGCAGAAGACTTTTTCTTCAGTGGAGAAGATACAAAGAAATCTTCACCATCGGGTTCTGAAGACTGGTCCTCAGGATTCTGATGTGGCAAGCTATCGTCCTTCCTTTTCTTCTTTTTGGACTTCTTGCAATTCTCTCCGCTTGGAACTTGCTCAACTTCAACAGCAGAACTCCTATTCATCACAGATAAGAAAAACCCAGGTAAAGTTCAATTTTTCCTTGTTATAAGGATTGTTTAACCACTTTCATTAGTGTCTAGCCAACTGACCAGTGCTTGCCATTAGACTTAATACAAATTGTTTGCAAATGCAAGTAGAAAGGTCATCGCTCAACATTTAATCTTGAAGTACTCATGCTTAGCTATCTGCACTAACAAGCCATAACAATAAGAGTTCCAAGACGAACAATTCTGAAGTTTTCTCGTAGGCTTCAAGCACAATCATTTTGAAAAATTTCTAAGACTTCAATCTTTCATCACATACATATGTGTGGAGTTACTGACATGAATAAAAGGTAGGAAGGGGCGACCAACAAATGGTGGTCTTTCATTATTTCAAGTGGAATCTAACTCTTGTTGCTACATCATGTCAAAGATTACACATAGAATGAACCCTAAGATACCCAGCTATAGGATCAATGCATTCAATCAAGTTCCATTATATATGTGGTTTTGGATAATGAGAGGTCAATAAGAACGTGATGACATAAAGGTACTCACTTCTTACTCGGATCATCGGCTTTTGTTTTCTTATCTTCCTGCCATGCTTGATTCTGCGTCTCTCTCTCCACGATATGCAATTTCCTCTTCATTTTCTTCGCAGTGCTGATTCCAATGTATAAGATTTTAGATGAAATCATATGTATCCATGTGTATCAGATTTTATAATGTTTATAGGGAGGCCTTCTGCTTTAGTTGATTAACTAAAACATAAGTTCCATGTCTCACTTTAGTCAAGAGTCCATTCCTTAACCATTCATCTTTGGTTATCTGAGACAGTACATGACCTATTCAAAATGAGATAAGTGCGAAGCTGAAGCATTTCCAGCAAAAATATGACTTCTATTCTGGTAAAAAAAGTATATTAGGTAACATATTGTCAAGTCTCCAATTCAGTCAAATTACCTTCCAGGTTCACCCTCAACAACAGAAGGAGACAACCTTTCAGATGATTTCATGGCAGTGCTCCCATCTTGCTTTTGCTTCTTCTTGGCAACATCTAGTGGTGTTTCCATGACTACATCTGGGACCTTTGTCTCCAAGTCCTTCGCAGAAGACTTTTTCTTAAGTGGAGAAGATACAAAGAAATCTTCACCATCAGGTTCTGACGACCAGGCCTCAGGATTCTGATGTGGCAAGCTATCGTCCTTCTTTTTCTTCTGTTTGGATTTCTTGCAATTCTCTCCGCTTGGAACTTGCTCAACTTCAACAGCAGAGCTCCTATTCATCACAGATAAGAAAATCCCAGGTGAAGTTCAATTTTTCCTTGTTACAAGGATTGTTTAACCACTTTCATTAGTGTCTAGCCAACCAACCAGTACTTTCCATGAGACTTAATACAAATCGTTCGCAAATGCAAGTGGAAAGATTATTGCTCAACATTTACTCTTGAAGTATTCATGCTTAGCTATCTGCACTAACAAGCCATAACAATAGTAGTTCCAAGACAAAAAAATTCTGAAGTTTGATCGAAGGCTTCAAGCACAGTCATTCAAAAATATTTCTAGTACTTCAATCTTTCATCATGTACATATGTGTGGAGTCACTGACATGAATAAAAGGTAGGAAGGGGCGACCTACAAATGGTGGTCTTTCATTCTTTCAAGTGGGGTCCAACTCTTGTTGCTACATCACGTCAAAGCTTACATGTGGAATGAACCCCAGGACACCCACTTCAATCTTGCTTGAGCTTGAGAGAAAAATGGAAGAAAACTTGAGAGAGAGAGAGAGAGAGTGTGTGTGGTTCAGCCGAGAGTGAGAGGGAGAGGGAGAGAATGAGATAGGATCAATGCATTCAACCAAGTACCATTATATTATTGAGTTTGGCTAATGAGAGGTCAATAAGAAGGTGATGACATAAAGGTACTCACTTCTTACTCGGATCATCGGCTTTTGGCTCCTTGTCTTCCTGCCATGCTTGATTCTGCGGCTCTCCCTCCACGATATGCAATTTACTATTCATTTTCTTTGTAGTGCTGATTCCATTGTATCAAGATGTTAGATGAAATCATAAGCATCCATGTGTATCTGATTTATAATGTTTATAGGGAGGCCTTCTGCTTTAGTTAAGTAACTAAACCATATGTTCCATGTCTCACAATAGTCAAGAGTCCATTCCTTAACCACTTATCTTTGGTTATCTGAGACGGTACGTGACCTATTCAAACTGAGATAAGTGCGAAGCTGAAGCATTTCCAGCAAATAAATGACTTCACTTCTGGTAAAAAAAGTATATTAGGTAACATATTGTTAAGTCTCCAATTCAGTCAATTAACTTCCAGGTTCAACCTCAACAACAGAAGGAGACAACCTTTCAGATGATTTCACGGAAGTGCTTCCATCTTGCTTTTGCTTCTTCTTGGCAACATCTAGTGGTGTTACCATGACTACATCTGGGATCTTTGTCTCGGAGTCCATCGCAGAAGACTTTTTCTTAAGTGGAGAAGATACAAAGAAATCTTCACCATCGGGTTTTGATGACTGGGCCTCAGGATTCTGATGTGGCAAGCTATTGTCCTTCTTTTTCTTCTTTTTGGACTTCTTGCAATTCTCTCTGCTTGGAACTTGCTCAACTTCAACAGCAGAATTCCTATTCATCACAGCTTGTTACAAGGATTGTTTAACCACTTTCATTAGTGTCTAGCCAACCGACCAGTGCTTTCCATGGGACTTAATACAAATCGTTTGCAATTGCAAGTGTAAAGATCATCGCTCAACATTTACTCTTGATGTATTCATGCTTAGCTATCTGCACTAACAAGCCATAACAATAAAAGTTCCAAGACAAAAAATTCTGAAGTTTGCTTGAAGGCTTCAAGCATAATCATTTTCAAAAATTTCTAGTACTTCAATCTTTCATCATATACATATGCGTGGAGTCACTGACATGAATAAAAGGTAGGAAGGGGCGACCAACAAATGATGGTCTTTCATTATTTCAAGTGGGGTCCAACTCTTGTTGCTACATCACGTCAAAGATTACATGCGGAATGAACCCTAGGACACCCAGCTATAGGATCAATGCATTCAACCAAGTACCATTATATATGTGAGTCTGGATAATGATAGGTCAAAAAGAACGTAATGACATAAAGGTACTCACTTCTTACTCAGATCATCAGCTTTTGGCACCTTATCTTCCTGCCATGCTTGATTCTGCGTCTCTCCCTCCACGATATGCAATTTAGTCTTCATTTTCTTTGCAATGCTGATTCCAATGTATCGAGATGTTTGATGAAATCATATGCATCCATGTGTATCTGATTTTATAATAATTAGGGAGGCCTTCCGCTCTAGTTGAGTAACTAAAACATAAGTTCCATGTCTCTCAATAGTCAAGAGTCCATTCCTTAACCACTTATCTTTGGTTAGACATTACACAACCTATTCAAACCGAGATGAGTGCGAAGGCGAAGCATTTCCAGCAAATCAATGAATTCTCTTCTCATGGAAGAAGTAAAAAAGGTAATATATTGTTAAGTCTCTAATTTAATCAATTACCTTCCAGGTTCACCGCCAACAACAGTAGGAGACAAACTTTCAGATGATTTCACGGTTGTGCTTCCATCTTGCTTTCGCTTCTTCTTGACAACATCTAGTGGTGTTTATGTGGAATTTTTAGATGGAGAGAAATTCTTTTTCTCATTCATATATACTACCTCTTTACATTGTCATATTTATAGACTAATACACAGAGGAGTCCTAGCAAACAAAATAGGAAACAAAGCCTAAATAGGAGAACAGCTACAATCCCACGATTTGTGGGATTTAACCAGAATAAAAAAAGTCATAAATAGGAAAAAATCTACTCCTATCAATCAGTCAATTTTCCTACATATTTACAGCCATATAATCTGGATATTTACAGCTCGACACTCCCCCTCAAGCTGGTGAATAGATATCTTCCATTCCCAGCTTGGTAACTAGCTCGTGAAAACTTCCACCATTAAGCCCTTTGGTCAAGACATCTGCCACTTGTTGTCCTGAAGGAACATAAGACAAACAAATTAGCCCTTCTTCATGTTTCTCCTTGATGAAGTGCCTATCGATCTCAATGTGCTTTGTCCTGTCAAGTTGCACATGATTATGAGCAATATTAATTGCAGATTTATTGTCACAATATAGCTTCATAGGACTTTGCCACTCGACTTTCAAGTCATCAAGAATGATCTTGAGCCACAATAACTCACATATTCCTTGAGCTGCTGCCCTAAACTCAGATTCTGCACTAGATCTTGCTACCACATTCTGTTTTTTACTTCTCCAAGTTACCAGGTTACCTCCAAGGAAGGTACAATAACCAGCTGTAGACCTCCTGTCAACCACAGATCTAGCATAATCCGCATCTGTATAAGCCTCAAGCTTAAGATCATGACTCTTCTTGAATACTACTCCCTTCCTTGGGCTCCCTTTCAAGTAGTGTAGGATTCGATGAGCAGCCTGTAGATGTGACTCCTTTGGATTATGCATGCATTGACTAATCAAGCTTACTGCATAGGAGATATCTGGTCGGGTATGAATAAGGTAGATCAACTTTCCGACCAATCTCTGATACATTTCTCGATCCACTGCTGCTTCCTCTTGTGCTTATGCTAGTCTTTGGTTTGGCTCAATTGGAGTAGTTACTGGTTTGCAACCAAGTTTCCCGGTTTCTTCCAAAAGATCCGTCACATACTTTCGTTGTGAAATAAAGATCCCTTGCCTTGAGTACGAAACCTCAATTCCCAGAAAATACCGTAGCTTTCCTAACTCCTTTATTTCAAACTTCTGAATCAAGTACTGTTTCAGCCGCTGTTTCTCCCTTTCATCATATGTCATCAACATACACCAATAATGATGTAACTCCCTCTGCGTCCGAATGTTTTATAAAAAGTGTATGATCTCCCTGGCTTTGTTTATACTCAGATGCCTTCATGACTCTAGCAAACCGTCCAAACCAAGCTCTAGGTGACTGCTTGAGCCCGTATAGTGCCTTTTTAAGTCTACAAACCTTTTCTGTTGTTTCCTTTCCTTCAAAACCAGGTGGGATGCTCATGTAGATTTCCTCTTCCAAATCTCCGTGTAAAAATGCATTCTTTACATCATACTGTTGAAGTTCCCAATCAAAATGAGCAGCTAAAGACAGTAAAATTCTTACGATATTCATTTTACCCACTGGTGCAAATGTCTCTTGGTAATCCACTCCATATGTTTGAGTGTAGCCTTTTGCAACCAATCTTGCTTTGTACCTCTCTAGAGAGCCATCTGCCTTGTACTTTACAGTGAATACCCACTTGCACCCAACTAGATTTTTCCCTTTTGGCCTGTCAATAATTTCCCACATTTTATTTTTTTTTTCAGTGCCTTCATCTCTTCTACCATGGCATTCCTCCATTCCTCTTTTGACAATGCTTCAGACAAAGTGTTAGGGACAGCAATAGAGTTTAAACTCACAATAAAGTTTTGGTATGGTGATGATAATCTATTAAGGGACACAAAATTTGATAGTGGATAAACTGGTTTCTTGGTGCAGTCTCTAATCCTTTTTCTAATAGCAATAGGTAAATCAAGATCAGCCTTAGGTGTATCACTAAGCTGTTCATTCAAAGGAGGTTTAGGACTTATCGTGTTCTCATTAGCAGCATCCGGAGTGGCATTTTGGACCTGCTCTTGTGTTGGAACGGATGTCCTCCTTGAATACACCTGAGAAATCTCATAGAATCATGGATACGAGTTGGACTAATGGGAATAGGAACAGAACCAGGTTGAGTTGGACCAGTGGGAATAGGAACAGAATCAGGTTGGTGTGTGGGAGATTGTGGTGGGCAAGAGATAGGATTCAAGGTAGGTTCATGAGCTACAATGGACGAGTTTGGGTTGATAGGGACATTGGACAATAAATCCAGGTTATCAATAACACCATGGCCCTTATCTTCCATGACTGAAATCTCCCCCTGAAGATAAGGTTGTGAAAAATAGGGTTTATTTTCAACGAAAGTGACATCTGCAGAGAGATAGAATTTTTTGGGGGGAAGAACACTAGAAGTGCCAAAAGTTATGTACGGCGCTCACTTTGGTGTCAAAAGTTTCAATCGGATCACTTAAGTGCCAAAAGTTGTTAAAAACGATCACTTAAGTGCCACTTTGCCGGAAATCCGACGTGACATTTTTTTATTAATTTCTCAAGCTGATGTGGCATTTCTTTTCTTTCTTTTTTTCTTTTTTTTCTTTTCTTTCTTCTTATTTTCGATGGCCGGCGCCCGGCCACCGGCCATGGCCGGCCTTGCCGGGCGTCGCCTTCCTTTCCTCCGGGCGAGGCCGCTGTGGCCTTGGCGAGGGCGGGCCTCGCGGGGGCTCGCCACGCCCGGGCGAGGGTCGACCTCGCCGGATCCGGCGAGGCCAGCCCTCGCCCGAGGCCACGGCGCCTCACCGGGCCTCGCCCGAGGAAGGCGACGCCTCGGCGAGGCCGCCGTGGCCTTGGCAAGGGCTCGCCTCTCCAGATCCGACGAGGCCGGCCCTCGCCGAGGCCACGGCGGCCTCGCCGGACCTCGCCCGGAGGAAGGCGACGCCTCGGCAAGGCCGCTGTGGTCTTGGCGAGGGCTCGCCTCGCCAGATCCGGCGAGGCCGGCCCTCGCCGAGGCCACGACTGCCTCGCCGGGCCTCGCCCGGAGGAAGGCGATGCTCGGCGAGGCCGGCCATGGCCAGTGGCTGGTCTCCGGCCATGGTAGAAGAAGAAGAAGAAGAAAGAAAAGAAAAAAGAAAAGAAAGAAAAGAAAAAAGAAAAAAAGAAAAGAAAGAAAAAAATATTTAAAAAATTGAATTATACACGTGGAAATGCCACGTGTCATTAAAATTTAAATATAAAAGCCACGTATTAAATTTGATCGGAATTTCTTGCCGTTGGCACTTAAGTGATTGTTTTTTCTCCGATTTGGCATTTAAGTGATCGCTGGCGTAAACTTTTGGCACTTAAGTGATCCAAATAAAACTTTTGACATCAA